TTTGAATACGATTGTACGCATAAGAACGGTGACGGCTGGCCAGGAGACGAGCGACTGAACCTGTAGGCTGTAACGGCGTGTAAACAAGATAATATCCTATCCTATAAATGCTAAAAAAAAAAAAATGATAACAATAATAGTAATTGTTTCCTCTCGATAACGTCCCTCTGTATATGCACACACATGCGATATATCCGTTGGGCAACAACAATGATAAACAAGCTGCAGTCCCGCTGACTATGATGTTCGTCAAACCAGTTTATCCACTATTCACTCAAGATAATAATAATACTATTATACACTTATTATTCTTTCCCTATAGTGCCCTAGCTAGAGACAACGCCAACGATGAGACAGACTTGCATACGACCGACTGCAGCGGTCATGATAACAACAATAGTACCCATAACAATATTATACCCCCTTCCTAGTCTCTATGCAAGCACAATCAATGACGGTACGAGGTATCGTACTACGTTATCGTAAGGTCGGCTCGGAAAATCGTTGAAAAACCTACTACGTTATAATATTTAAAATGAAACCGTGCTAGCTTTCAATTATAATTAGTCATTAGATCATATTAAGCTGAATTCGGTAGTCCATCAATCTAATCACACATTAGTTACGATTCCTCGACGTGATTGAACGGTCGTTCGACAACGGGATGAAAAGTAATACAAATCACACGACACTCGATATTATATTACATGTTAACAACCCCGGGGAGCAGCGAGCTCGTCGAGACTGTATTCGTACGGACTGTCGTCAACTCTTCGTCGTTTTTGTGTGTGTGTGTGTGTGTGGATGTGTTGTCCTGGGATCGTGAGAAAGCAAAAGGATATTATACGTATATATTTTAATTTACGTTCTGTTGTCGCGTGTGCGAGTGTGTATACGAGAGACACGAGTGTGTGTGTAAAATACGAAATGTAGGCGGTGTACAGGTGTCGTCCGGAACGAAAACCGGTTTGGCGTCCACAATGGATCGGCGGCGTTTTTTTTTTTTCAGGTAACTTGTAGGTAACTCGCGACGTTGCCACATGTACCGGTCGCAGTCACTGCCGCGGCCGCGCCGCCGCCACACCGTGTCCCTTGGTCAGATGAAGTATGAACCGTATATACAATATAATATATAGATACGAATATACGATAATAATAATAATTATTATTATTATTATTACTATTGTAGTAAATCGTCGTCATATACATATTATACAAAATCCATTTTGACACACACACGCACACACCATTTTATATACCTGAGAGCGGCACAACAATTGGACGGGGTGAAAAACGGTCTCTTGTTTACACGATCGTAAAAACGTCCCCCATTCATTCGGACGGATGCCGAGGCGCGGCGGCGGCATCCAGCAAATTACCGAAAATGTTTACCATGCTATACATATTACTATGTAATAATAATATTATGTAGTTTGCTATTTTGTACATCACTTAACTCCACTACAACGCGATACGCAATATTATGAACAATACAGGACGCCACGATGATAATGTGTATTTCAAAATGTCTGGAAATTGTACCAAAATCGACTTATTGGTGTGGGGGTGGTGGAGGTTACCGTATTCCAGGAAATGACGATTACGGATAATGAAATGTGATGTGAAGCACCCCTCTCACAGTATATTTACCAGATTCGATCGCGTTTCACGCTGTATTATATTACGTTACCTTTCAAATCCCATAATATCGTAGAAGGACGCGTTCCACGAAACAATAATAATCAGACTTCAACTGCAGTAACTATATTATTTTAATCCAGAACGATTTAAGTACATTCTCATTCACATCAAATATTATATTGTGTATATGCAAAATAGAACGTTTAGACAATATGCACCATAACTGCATGGCTGCAGTTTATAGTTTACGAAAACATTTTAAACTCATGTTAAAGCAATAATTTGGTAAATATAATATATTACTATCAATTTTGAATAAGAAACTAACTCGTAACGATTACGCGTAATCAGAAAACACGATAATTGGCCGAACGATATGGTTTAGAGTGGAACACCACTCTTTGTGCGGATTTCGAACTGCACAACGTTAGTATACGTAATATTTTAAATCGCTGTACATTATATTTAATCGTGGAGTGTAAAAAAACGTATATATACCAATATAATATTGTTTCTATTCTTCCGACCAAGAGTACCTATTATACTAAAACGACGACGTTGAAGTCTTTTCGACGACAACGATCGGTCACGTTGAATTCATTTTTTTTGTTATTAAGTACTAATCTAACCTATATCAGATGCAGTACCGCAGTACCACAGTACCACCCTCTACCTATAGGTCTTTCTTAAATTGTATTTATGAGTTTGCTTTTATTTCATTCAAGTGAATAGAATTGTAATCAATCATCAATAATAATAATAATAATATAGTGACCTGCAACATCTTTGCCCAATGCCCGTGGCGGTGCTTGTTGAGCTCATCGGAACGGAAAACGGTTATCGGTAGAATACAAGTGGCGGACGTAGCTGCAGATATAATTATATTATACAGCATGAATTCGGATTTCGAGACGATTTTCGTTGCACCGCGCACTGAAGACATTGTAATACAAAAATAGGGACGGCGCTAAGCCGATATCAATGGACAACAACTCGTCGTGATGTGTGTATGTGTATGTGTGTGTACATTATACATTTATCGTATCGTTATAGTATATAAGGCCACCCCATTGAACACGCCCGTTCCGAGAAATACGTCTGTCTGTGTATAAATGAGTGTACGTGCGTGCGAGATCGTGTACCTATACGTTCTGGGCGACTCTATACCGGTGTGATTCATCGTGCGCACCTGCACCTCCGCCGACCATGCCTCGGCCCCATCTCATCATATTATATACGTGTAATATATTATAAACTCATAACCTTACGATGACGGGTCCGACGGGGCTCCTCCGAACCGAGACACGTACACGACGACGACAACGTGATATATAAACGGCCGCCGTATGTTGAAAGATCGAAAATATAATAATATAATATGTAAGTACGTGTATTTCAGAAATACGCGGACGATCATTGTTGACCAATATACAATGTTACCATATGTAATAATAATATAATAGTATAATAGCCGCTCAATCCAAAATCCGCAGCTATGGCGTAGGCCGGCGAAGGTTCGATTTGTGTGCGGGGAAAAAGAAAATTATTGGTAATCGAAAAATTTTATCCCGCACGTGATGCGATAACCGTATCGTTTTCGATTTAAAATTAATAACACGTTTCGACCCTGCACAGCAGCACGGGAACACGCATGTACCCTACACCCCGTCGCTGTATAATATTATATTATATGCGGTGTCTTTAAAAATTACATTCGACCGCATTCCGCCGAAGAAAAAATTCCGTATAGGCATAATGTATATTATGTAATATTAATATTATATATTATTTATATTTTATACCTACACATCATAATATGGCAACGACGTCGTCGTGATGCTGCAGTGCAGTAATAAACGCTATAAAGTAATTATTATTTGATGAAAACAACAAGTTCCCGGAAAAAAATGGAAAGAACCTCGCGTATGGATATTATAATAATGATTTATTATTTATATTATTATTATATAGGTACAGTACGAAAATGTTTATTACGGAACGGTATGTGCACACATACTTCGAAATAAAAATAAAATAAAAACAAATATTCAAAAGTTGAATTCGTTTGTTGTATACCTACCTACGACAAATATAATATTATATGGCGATAATATGTGTAACACAACGGTAGTTTTTTTTTCGTTAAACGTTATTTTCTAAAAAAAAAAAGTAAAACAAATTTTTCCTTGTTAATGTTATGCGAATGTATCCGAAATTGTTTGAAATTTGAAAAATAATAAACTTTTAACTCGAAAAACAAATAAAAATTCAAACACCGTACCGGGGTGACGTGTACACACACACACACACAGTTCATATATATAACAATATAATATTATATTTCGCAGTATACGATTGTAAACATGTAATATGCATACGCGGAGGTAGGACTATGAATCATCACGGGATTCGGTAAATCTCAATCTCAATTTTCAAACTGTGTTTAATCTTTTTCATTCCACATTTCGCGTAACCATTAAAATACAGGATATTGTAATATCATAGTATAATATACCTACGTATGTATATACGGTTCTTACGTCCGCAACAGAATGCAGTCTGACTTGAGATCCAAAGTATAAGTATAGGTACCTACCATCGTTGTAATAATATTATATATTTTGATTTGGACGATTTCTCAGTTGTAACGCAGATTAAAACAATTGCAATCAATAATATGTTTTTACATTTAGGTCGGTCCCTCGTATTATTATAATAATATAATAATCGAGGCAGAAATATCATAACGCATTACAGAACACATTAAACACCTACACAATTATTTCGCGATGCTTATTATAATTATCATTACCTATGTAACGAGTAGAAACTGCAATAAGACACCCCACCGTGTCTGTATAATGTATATAGGTAGGTAGGTACCTAAAATCATACATATTATATACGTTAATACGTAGCCTACGTAACAACTAATAAAAAGGTAAATAATATCTTCGTAATAATATGTCGGATTAGATAATCTGATTATAAATATATTATATACATTGTTGGGCAGCCGAGCCGAAAATAACGAGAATTGTCACGGCACAACATAATATTTGACTATACATAACGTATATATAATACTCCTATACGATATTTTACACGGCAAAACTAGTCTGTGTCATATTCGTAACAATGATGTCGATGATGATGATGGTGATGATGCGGATGAGGTCATTGGACGTAAGAAGTCGAATGTGTTGACCTTACATCGTGTTCAATCATGTGTTGTCCGCACAAAATATTAAATATTTATATATATATATATGTATTATAGGAGCGCGTACACGCGTAAACCTAGTTCCTAAATATTGTATCTCCTAAGACTATATTCTTTTTTCTGTTAGAAAACATACCTGGGGACGTCATGCTATCTTCCTCCGACAACGGGTACATCTGAGAAGCTGGCTCATGTACATATAACCCTTTCTGTACTCGTATTACGCCGTTGGCAAACGCGTGACGATTTAGCTGGATGCTACGAACGGGCTGAGATGAGGCCAAACGAAAACATAAAAAAAAAAATAAAAATAAAAATAAAAATAAAACAAAAATGTGAATACAAGTAGAACAGAAAGTTTTATGACAAAAAAAAAAGAGAAGAAGAGAAAAATAATCGAAAAACCTAAACACACGGGATTTATCTAAAAAGAACTAAAATATTCGTCAAGTCAATTGAGCACTTCACCAAAAGGTTTTTTGTTTATTATAATATTATTTGTGGATTCTGCGTTTCACAATTAAATATTTTAATATTGTAAATTATTCAAGTATAGATCAGTAAAATAACGTGTTTTAGAAAATCATGTTCAATATATTTTTTATTATTATAATAAGGCATTATACTAGTCTATTAATATAGAAGTACCAGAAAGTAATCTAGCAAAATTAAATAAAACATGACTCAGAGGAAGACCACTTCAGCGCTGGTTAGATCGGGTAAAGGGAGATTTGAACTAAGTGGAGGAAACGGAAGTCAGCAAGTATGGAGGATACTGATAAAAAGACAGAGGGAAAAATTTTTTGTAAAAGCTATAAAAAAAATACAAATACAAAGTAATAATAATATAATATAGGTATATTAGTTCACAATATATTGTTGGTATATTTTTACGTAAGCCTATATTGTAGTGTGTAGTAAAAAATTCACTATGGATAAAGTGAATTACGAAATTATAGTATTACTTCAATAATGAATAATTAGTGACATAACGTTTTTATATTATTTTAATGATATAAGTTTAAATTTTAAAGGTAAAATGTCTGTGCTGTAATTGTGCATTAATTTAATAAAAACAAAATGTTGTTTACGACCCTTGAAATATCAAAATTTAAGTATAGAAAAACGAAAAACGCATTATGTTTAGTACTGTATTTGTGTTGCATAAAATAAGCGCCCCGTGATACTCTATAAGAAAACCTAATACCTTAAAAGTATGATAATAATATACTTAAAAACGTAATCGGCTTTTAGACGAAAACTCCTTTATTATGCTATGCGGAGTGAAATGAAAAAAAAAGAATTGACTGACATGAAAATAATAAAGAAATTAAAATAATTGTACAAAGAACATTATCCTATAACGTTCTTTGTCGCGCGTTGTTCGTGTGTCTTTAAACACAAAGGGTTTATTTTATGACCGAACTTTTTTCTTCTTCAAATATTCTTTACTAAACAATTAATGCTTAATAATAATATTGTTTTCTTTAGTTTTCTATAACAAAGCAACTACCTACTCAAATGTTCATGGAAAAGCCAGGTATTACGATTATTCAACATTTTTGTTCGGTAAAATCTCATATTTTCTATTACCGCTGTCATCAGGGATTATTACAAAATCGTTAGTAATAACCTATCTACAACTATCGACGGGCGCGATACGATTGCGCGCGGTCCTTATCAGCGGTACCTTTTTAAGCGTACGATTGCGCGCGCTATATTATTTTAACTTTTAAGCAACGTTGCCAAATATATAGGTCCATGGTAAATCCGTAGGATACCATAGTAGATTATAGTAGATTATTTATTACTTATTTTTGCCGATATCAGACAAACTTCCCATCACTAAGAATGAATTGGTTATATTATGTATCAAAAATATTATCTTTATTGTAAATGTCCATACATGTACGAATATACCTATACTATAATCGTGCATGATGTGACTATATCAATTAACTATCAGTTGTGTTCAGTTCTAATAATAGTTTTAAAAAAAAATGTGTTAACTATAATATTATGTTATTTATTTTTAGGATTACAAACGGGGCTGAAAGTTTCCATAGTACATAATGCTCATCCACCAATATTTGTCGTTATAGCTACCCTTATGGAACCTCAGGCAGAAATAGTTACCAAATTATTAACCATTTCCAAAGGTATAATAAAACCAAAATCGAATGAAGAATCAAGGAAAATTGAAAATTTGAAAAATGAACACAAACATTATGTAAACAATAAAACACCAGAAAATTTACTTAAGTATTTGGCCATAGTTGGAAATAGGTATCGGGGGTTTAAAATTTAATATAAATATTGATTTACGAGTATTATATTTTTTCAATTATTAAATTTCTTTATTTTGTATTATTTTTTTTTAACTCTTTTATTTTTTATTATTTACGTTAATTTTTTAATTTTTTTTTTAAATAACATTTTTTTTATATTATTAACTTTTTGTATTTTTATTATTTACGTAATACATTTGGCAACGTCGCACCCAATTTCACGCGCAATCGTACGCCTTTGAGTAATTAAAATGTTGTCTTTTGTTATTCGGGCACTGCGCGCAATCGTATACCTAAAAAGGTAAAACGCGCGCAATCGTACTCCGCCGCTATCGACGAACCGTGCGATTCACATAAAATAAACACCATCGGCGGCTCTTTAAACGACTCTGTATTAATAATATGGCACTGAATTTTTTAAAATATAAATTCAAATATTCAATTGGTCAAAACAACAATGGAATTACAATTGCCGACCAACATGAAATTTATGGGTTCACACGGTTCTCGTATAGAAACGAGCTGGCGATTAACTTCCAGACGAGACGGCATTTTTTTTAAAAAACATTTTTTATACTCAGCCGCTGCTATTGCTCAAGCGCGCAACTATTCTTAGATGTGTGTTAAATAATAAGGACGCAATAATTTTCATTTCTCGACCTACTCGAATGAAGAAAATAAAATAAAAATAATGAAACGAAAAAAACTCCATTTCTGTCTCTCTTCCTCTGGAACGACAACAGGATTATTGTCATCGGATGAAACAAAAACAGCATTCTGCCGATCGCCATTGAGGCGACGGCAAAAATACTACGAATACTTTCAGCTGTATACCAATACCATACCTATACAGCAAGCATTTACCGCATTTACCGTACAAAACCGGTTCCGCATTTTATTAAATTATCATTCTAAATGTATAGCAGTTTATTCGGTATATTGTATTATATATATATATTTTATATCTTACTAAATCGATTACAAATTTGTACGACGCTATCGCTACCATATAACGTATTGACTGATTAAAGACAAAAGGCGGTAATACCAAGTGACAGTTTTCTACAATTCAGGAGAGCAAACTCAACATTTGTAAGTAAATGTGTCGTTTGTCCCGAAATGAAAAACTAAATAGGTACTTCATTATTGGTCAGAGGTAACTTCACAAGTTCGAAAGCTGAAACTGTCAGTCATCCTGTTTAAAATACACCCATGACTTTAAGCCCTTAACTATAGCTTATCTCATTTTACCTTTTAGCAATCAATAAATAATATAATACACCCTTGTAAACATTATAAATTGTATACAGGAAAAATAAATTTCGTCGATGGGATTTTTATTGTTGTAGTGGCGAGAAAACATAATTTATAAAATAATATTAAAAACTTGCCAAAATAAAAAATTATAATAAACAACCGTGCGCGGTATTTAAAGTCACTGGGATTAAGAAGGGGAAAAGCGAAAAGCTAGAGGGTAAATTATTAATATATATTATATATTATATTAACTATCTCAAGTTTTTTTAAACTTAAATCAAGGTTTGAAATAGAAAAATTAATATATTTTGATCTATTGTGTTATACTTATCACACAGTTGGTTTATAAATGATATATTTATATTATATGAATGAAAGAGCTGGTCTCTAATAAGTATTTGCATTTGACCGGATTTAATTTTTCAAACGAAGTTATAATATAACATCTTATTCTTGATTTCTTTATTCTTTATACAAACATCAGCATTTTTTTTTAATAACTACGTATTTTTTTATACATTTAATGTAATATATTTGAACGGAGAAGACGTTTACTATTAAAAAAAAATTATACATTATTATCGCGATATTATCATGACTTTTATGTAAGCCCATAAATATGGTGGTTTATCCACACGCTGCACAACACAAACGAGTCTATTGATGTATAGTTTATATGGAATCATCGTTGTCTCATGTAACCGCAAGCACAATCGTGGAAATATCATTACAGTTAACGTTGGTATATATTAATAACAATATAGAGGTACTGACATTTATAGGTATAGGCTTATGTTTTTATTATCACTTAATATCACATTGTCAATTATCTGTAATCAGTATTATAGGCATATATTGTAGTATCGCTATATAAATATACTGCAAATCGCAATATCGCGGATAAAAGTATATATACGATACAGTCATCGATTTACCGTTCAATGTAATCAAACTGCTATCAAGGCCTAGGTTAGTCCAGAAAATAATATATCATTAATACAGCTCGTTAAAACAATTAGGATTATACGTGACATCCATTTTTTTCTTCGACTTCAATAATAAAATTTCATTAAAACACAACCATAAAAAAAAAATAATAATAACGGCTTTGCCGCTAGTCTTTTGGTTACATATATTTATATACCTATATTATTATCGAAACGCCGTTCGCGTCGAGTGTACAATATTATTATGTAGTTTAATGGTGTAAATCGTAAACCTATACACAATAATGATACTTTATCATATAAAAACGTAATTATAAACGCATCTGATTATATACCTGTATAGTAATTTGACGACGATCGATTTGTTTAGGATACGAATTGCAAGTACCGCATCATCAACGTCTACGATTGTACACCGCAGTCTATACATATCCCCAAACGACTTGCAGGTGTATTAGGACTTGGAAATGTATCGAAATATCGCATAGGAAACAGGGATAATACAAAAGAGATTATAGGAATGGAATACCCGCGATTTACCTGTGGAGCTGAGCTGTAACGTTCGGGTGATTAATGAATGAAGGTCATAAGCCCACACATACCTCATATTTTGGGCTTTCCGACAGCGTCGATTAAAAAATCAGCGAGGGATGGGGTGGAGCAAAAAAAAAACCCCCCTTAGCA